TACATATTTTTCCAGAATAATTTTACGAAATTGAAATTTGTGCTTTCTCACATGGTCTTCTGATCGTTAGACGCTCTCATCTCTAACGAATACCGGAGCAGTTATCCCATCAAACCCTCGTCCGCATATACCTTCGTCTCTGGATGCTACACTTGTTGCTCAACTGGATGAAATATTTACTAAGTTCTTACAACAAGTATGCTCTGATTGTAAGTGTTTTCGTGTAAGCGTCTGTTGTCATTTATAAGTATCAATATTAATTCGCCATCTATAAAACAGTAAATGCAAAAGACTCAAAGGGCGAACAAATGTAAGTAATTGGGATTGTTTAGACGACTTAAGCTATATCAATTAACTACATTTTTTTCATCTTACAGTCATCAAACTCTAATGGCCAAGAAAATGCAAAAGCTCGATGAATCGCCTGACTTCCGACCATTTAAGTTCCGTATTCAAGCGTTTACTAATGCATTTTATGAAGAGTTATTAAGACAAGGATATACAGAAGATGCATTGCCACTGAGAAAGGTTAAGAACTACCTTTGGAGTCAACGGTACATTTCTCGATTTAACGAAGATGGTAAGAAAGCCAAGAGTAAGGGTAATCATGTATGGAATATTGAAGCAAAGAAGACACCGACAGGTGGATGGGTTTTCAGAGAATTTAAACGCAAAATTGTGGGTGTGCCGGATAAATATGCGTATGTGGGCGTACCATATGCTTATGCTCCCAGGGTATGGGATCCTCAGGTCAATGCTAAATGTAAGTTCTATTATGCATTGAGATAAATAAGCTTTATTCGATAGACTGAATTAATTCTATTAATAGCGATCAAAGCTGTATTTGCGTTCGAAGGTCTCCCTGATTGGTTGCATGCGGATAACAATGTTATTTCAGGAACTCCTGCTCTAAATTCTCAAAGCGCAGCAATAAAAGTGTCAGCAAGTTATCATCATAGCGGTGTAGTTATTACACTGGAGAAGGAATTTTATATACAAGTGACGGTGGAACAATCAGCGCAACAAGAACCGGATCTTAATCCTATGATGAATCCTGTGGTAAGTAATAGTACATATTATTTCGTATTGGAATAGTCTGATTCATATCGTTGCCATTTTATTAGGCTATGGCGGATTATCAACTGCAACCGCATCTCGGTTGAGCCACATGGTAGAACATGCTGGCTTGCAAACTAGCGCATGAAAACTTTTGAAACGTCTGTCTGAAATATCTACTCGTGATCAAAACTTCAAAACAAAACAACAAATATCAGTTTTACTAATTCCAGTTGAATAGTATATCTTGTTTTATTTCTATCGTGTTTCTATTTGCTTTCTTGTTTGTACAATTGTGTTGAATCATCATTCTGTGGCTAATATAATATCGTTTCCATTAATTTTCTCTGTAAATGTTTTTTTTTCCTCCGTATCCGAATATTCTATATGTAAAAAAAAAATTTTTTTACCACCTCTTTATCCTATATACACTAGAAATAACAAATAAAGTCTGTCGGATGAGTGATAATATAACATGTCAACATCACGACGTTGAAGCGTTTATTATGTTTGTACATTCGAATATTCAAATGACACGTTCACATTCCATAATCCCAATTCTAATATGATAAAAAAAGCCTTTTCCTGTCTTGTTTCCAACTGTCTGAATGTGCACTGCCCTCACCTTCCGCTAATGCAGAAAGCAAGATCATCTATCGTAGTCGAGACTACGCTCATCCCTTTACGGACAGAACACTTCCCATCGTCATCCAGTTTAGACAGTGTGTCTTGTTTGGAAAACAAAGACGGGTGACGTACTATGTACAGATCCTGTAAAGTACAGTCGTTGAGGACAAGTCAGAAAAAACTTCAGTGTTTATATAGCAGATGCACAGAATGTGGGAATTGAGTGGCACAGAAAAAGTTTTTCCTCCAATAGAAACGAATTGATTTTGGACTGGACCCGGCTCAATAAACGTGATCTTCCGACCATAGAATAATCAATACATGAGTACCGGCGAAAACAGTTTACATTGTCTATTCGCGAAAATCCCCTACTTACAAGACATAGCATATATACTTTAGACACTAATTCTTTAGCTAGAAAGTAATAATGGCTGCGGAACAAAGAAAAGCACTTGAGGTTAAGAGAAACATGAATTAGCTTCTTGAGCGTCTTTTCTTTGTGATCGCCGAAGCTTTAAATCTACATTTGATATTAGGCACTTATGGGGACAGAAGCTCTGGGTGGCGTACCCGACACCGTGAACTTTTGGGATTCAAACGTGTGCAGAAATTGTCTTTGTGGGTTATGCCCACACGATCTGTTCACGTAAGTTACTTGCAAAGGTACCTCGAAGGTGGTAGAGAGTACTTTACCTGCTCTTTTTGACGTTCTTTGTTTGCCGATCGGCTCTTTATTTGATCTTACAGCAACACGGTATGTTCATATTGAGATCGATATAATACAAATGCTCTTCTTACTATCGCATAAATACTCAATTTGTCCGAAATCATTCTCGCGTTTGCTTCCATTAAATTAGAAAATGGACCTTGGCCCATGTCCTAAGTTACATTCTCAACGACTAAAGTCAGAATACGAGGAAGCTCGCAAACGGAATCCCAATCAGCACAATTACGATCTTGAATTCGAACGCAGCTTGGCTCAGTTCGTTGCTGATTGTGATCGTAAGATTTTAAGTGCGCAGAGACGCTTGGATAAGACTCCAGAAGACAGTGTAAAAACTACTAAATTGGTAAGTTGAACGTTTGTTAATATGTATACGGGTTGATTTTTTTGTCATCTACGAGAGTATGTAGTAATGTCTTTGGAAAAAAAAATACATAGCTTGAAGAGATTCGTGATTTAGAGATGGAGATTGCAGAAATGACCAAGGAAGTAGAAATACTCGGTAAATTATGATACCGACTTTATCCTACGGTGATACTTTTGAACATAAACTAAATTTATTATTTTACGTCTTAGGTG